TAACGAGGCTCCCGCTCGAGTGTTGGCTTGACCCTAAGTGTGCCCTTGGAGGCCCAGCTACGACAACAACGGTTCCCGCTCGATACTTCCTCGCAATTTACCTCGAGACACCCTGGCCAGAGAGGCCCCCGAACTCAGGAGCGGCGCTCTCGCTCGAGATCCAATTGATTGGCGGGGGCCCAGCCACGACGACAAGGGCTCCTGCTCGATACTTCCTCACGATTTACTCGGAGAGCCCCATGGCCAGGAAAGCCCCCGGGCTCAGGAACAGCGCTCTCGCTCGAGACTTTCCCCTGATTCAGTCAAACTGGTGGAGGCCCACATTCAACGACAAGGGATCTCGTTCGATACCTCCTCAAGATGCATTCGCAGAGGCGCTTGCCAGAGTGGCCCCCGAAATCAAGAGTGGCGCTCTCGCTCGAGACGCCCTCGTCATTCAGTCAATTTGGGTGTGGGCCAACCCGCGACGACAAGGGCTCCCCTTCGTTGTTTCATAAAGCTGTACTTCGAGAGCCCGTGGCCCGAGACTGCACTTCAGCAGCGGCGCTGGAGGCCCGCCTGCGACGACAGGGGCTCCCGCTCGACACCCCTTTCGTACTCCTACACGACCTGGCCAGAGAGTCCCCCAAACCACAAAGGCCCCAGCACGCTGCCCATTGCGGCCTTCGGACACAGCCCACAAAGGCTCCAAGCGCGCCCACGGGGGCCCCAGCACGCTGCCCACGGATGCCTTCGGACACAGCCCACTGAGATCCCGGCGCGCTGCCCATTGAGGCCTGAGGCCCAGAGTAAGCCCACAGGGACCGTAGCATGCTGCCCGCAGGCCATCCGGCACAGCCCACATGGACGCCAAGCGCGCCCACAGAGGCTCCCCCGCGCTGCCCACGGAGGCCCCAAGCGCGTCCACAGAGGGCCCAGCGCGTTGCCCCCCGACACAGCCCACAGAGGCCCCAGCCTTCAGAGGCCCCAAGCGCGCCCACAGAGGCACCAGCCCACAGCGGCCCCAAGCGCGCCCACAGAGGTCCCCGCGCGCTGCCCACAGGCTCTCGGCACAGCCCACAGATGCCCAAGCCCCCGCCCCAAGCGTGCCCACGGAGGCCCCAGCGCGCTGCCTACCGAGGCCCCCCGTTCCGCAGAGGCCCCACGCGCGCCCACAGAGGCCTCAGCCCACAGAGGCCCCGAGCGCGCCCACAGAGGCCCCCGCGCGCTGCCCACCGAGGTCGCCCGTTCCCCGTTCCACAGAGGCCCCAAGCGCGCCCACAGAAGGCCCCAGCCCGCAGTGGCCCCGGCGCGCTGCCCACTGAGGCTCCCCAACGCAGCCCACAGAGGCCCCGAGCGTGCCCACGGAGGCCCAAACGCGCTGCCCATTGGAGCCCCGACTTCCGACAGAGGCCCCACACGCGCCCACAGAGGCCCCAGCGAACAGAGGCGCCAAGCGCGCCGAGGCCCCCGCGCGCTGCCCACTGAGGCCCTCTGGCACAGCCTACAGAGGGCCCAAGCGCGCCCGCAGAGGCCCCAAGCGCGCCCACAGAGGCCCCAGTCGCGCCCGCAGAGGCCCCAGTGCTGCCCACTGAGGCCCCAGCCCACAGAGGCAGGCCCAAGCCCGCAAGCGCGCCCACGCCGCAGCCCACAGATGCCCAAGCCCCCGCCCCAAGCGTGCTCACGGAGGAGCGCGCTGCTCACTGAGGCCCCCCGTTCCGCAGTGGTCCCGCGCGCGCCCACAGAGGAGGCCCCGCGCGCGCCCACAGCGGCCCCAGCCCACAGAGGCCCCGAGCGCGCCCACAGAGGCGCCGCGCGCGCTGCTCACTGAGCGCGGCCACAGAGGGCCCAGCGCGCTGCCCACTGAGGCCCCCGACGCAGCCCACAGCGGCCCCAGCCCACAGGCCCCAAGCGCGCCCACAGGTCCCAGCGCGCTGCCCACTGAGGCCCCCCAACACAGCCCACAGAGACCCCAAGGGCGCCCACTGATTCCCCAGCCAGCAGAGGCCCCGAGCGCGCCCACAAAGGGCCCCGCGCGCTGCCCACAGAGGCCCCCGACGCCGCCCACAGAGGCCCCACGCGCGCCCACAGAGGCCTCAGCCCACAGAGGCCCCAAGCGCGCCCACAGACGCTCCAGCGCGCGACCCACTGAGGCCCTCGGACGCAGCCCACAGTGGCCCCAGCCCACATAGGCCCCAAGCGCGCCCACAGAGGCCCCGGCGCGCTGCCCACGGAGGCCCACCGACACAGCCCGCAGATGCCCCAAGGGCGCCCACGGAGGCCCCAGCCCGCAGAGGCCCCAAGCGCGCCCACAGAGGCCCCCGCGCGCTGCCCACTGAGGCCCTCCGACACAGCTCACAGAGGCCCCAAGCAGACGCCGGAAGCGCGCCAACAGAGGCCCCGACGCGCTGCCCACTGAGGCCCCCGACAGAGCCCACAGAAACCCCAGCCCACAGAGGCCCCAAGCGCGCCCGCAGAGGCCCTGGCGCGCTGCCCACAGAGGCTCCCCAACGCAGCCCACAGAGGCCCCAAGCGCGCCCACGGAGGCCCCAGCCCGCAGCGGCCCCAGGAACGGCGCTCTCGCATGAGACTTCTTCGCAATTCAATCAAGTTCGCTGATGCCCAGCCGCGACGACAAGGCTCCCATTCGATATTTCCTCGCGATTTACCCCAGGAGGCCCTGGCCACAGAGGTTCCCGAACCCACGAACAGCGCTCTCGCTGGAGACTTCCTGGCAACTCAGTCAAAATAGTGGGGGCACAGCCGCGATGACAAGAGCCCCCGCTCGATGCTTCCTCGCGATTTGCTCCGAGAGGCCTTTTTCTTGTGGTCCATTCTTCTCCCCCCCCATCCGCCCCCCCTTCCCCAGTTTTAGGGGCGGCGCTAAACGTGCGTGGCACGTGAGGAAGATATACCACCGAGGGGGTATAGTCGAAGACAAAGAGGGCGGGTATCGAGGGCTTGGGGTATACGCGTTGCGTGGCACGCGATCGAGTAATAACAATCAGTAGTAAGGTCAGAGTGAGGGGTCTGAACCGAACGGTCATTCGCTGTCCCTGGGTGCGTGGCTGAAATGGAATTCCGCGATGCGGATTATTGTTGTTTGTTGTTTGTTGTTTGTTGTTTGTTGTTTGTTCCTGTCGTCGTCCCATCCGCGACCCTCCCCGCGACCCACCCGCGACCCACCCCGCGACCCACCCGCGACCTACCCGCGACCAACCCCGCGACCCACCCGCGACCCACCCCGCGACCCACCCCGCGACCCACCCGCGACCCACCCGCGACCCACCCGCGACCCACCCCGCGACCCACCCGCGACCCACCCCGCGACCCAGCCAAAATGTTCGGTACATGCGGCCTACCCACGACCCAAGCCGCGCCCGCGACCCACCCGCGATCCAAACCGTGCCCGCGACCCACCCGCGACCCACCGTGACCCACCCGCGACCCCTTCGTGACCCACCCCGCGACCCACCCGCGACCCACCCCGCGACCCACCCAAAATGTTCGGTTCCTGCGGCGGGCTTCTTTTGAATTCGTTCCAGGTGGAGAACCTGCGACCAACCCGCGACCCGAGAACCGCGACCACCCGCCCCCTTCATTATTATCCGCAATTGCGGGGTGCTATTCGTTTTTGTTGTTGTTACTGCTGTTGGTGGTGTTGTTGTGGCAGTTGGTGTTGTTGATGGGTGTTGTTGTTGGTGTTGCTGTTGTTGCTGTTGCTCGTATTGTTGCTGCTGGTGTTGTTGTTGTTGGTGGTGGTGCTGTTTTCCTCACGCCTAAAGAAGAAATCGTGTTGATCCACCCTGTCTGGTGACCATTCTGGATTTGTTCAATTAAAGTGTTCCTCCTGGAACACTTGCTCCAACTGGGCCCGAGTTTCGCCGAGGTGAGCCCCTACCCTCTGGCCGCCTTCTTATCGCAACCAGAGCGCCCGAGTGCCCAGTGCGTAGCTCCCGCTGGCCGCTCAGCTAGAGCAGCCAGAGTACCCTCGAACTCGGTTCCTCTATCCTGGGGCTGCCGCCAGTGCCTCCAGTCCCTTACAGTCAAAAACCCTAATAAGGACGCGCGACTTTGCTCAGGGTACCCTTGCGTCCTTGCTCTTCCTTGCTCTTGCGTCCTTGAGGTTTTCGTCGTACGCCGCCCCAAAAGTCCCAACTTCGGCTTCCAAGGGTCTTGCGTCCTTACCGCGCGTCCTTATTAGGGTTTTTGATTGTATCCTGGGGCTGCCGCCAGTGCCTCCAGTCCTTTACTCGGAACCAAGGGAAAGTTGGGTGTCACCAAAACTGGGCCCTTGCACCGCGTGCCCGCGGGCGGCGGAGGGCGAGTTGGAGCGCTGCTCGAGACCCCGCCCCGAGACCTGCCCGCGGCTCTGGAGAGGTGGGCGGGGTCGCAGAACGGAGGGCTTCCTCGGGAGAGGAGCATAATTGGGACAGGAACGACAAAAAGGAGGAGGAGGAGGAGGAGGAGGAGGAGGAGGAGGAAGAGGAAGAGGAGGAGGCGCCTGCGGCGGACGGAGGAGGCGGAGGATAAAGGAGAGGAGAAGGAGGAGGGGGGAGGAGAGGAGGAAGAGGAAGGGAGTGGAGGAGGAGGAGAGGACGATTAGAGAGGCAGCTTAACAGGGAGGAGCAGACGGGGGAGGAGAGCAAGGCAAGGCGGGGCAGGGGGGGGGGGGGGGGGGGAGGGGGGGGGGGGGGGCTCAGGCCCCCCCCTCCTCATCCGCCCCCGAGCTGCACCCCACTCCTCCTCCTCCTCCTCCTCTCCTCCTCCCCTCTCTTCCCCTCCTCCTCCTCCTCCTTCTCTCCTCCTCCTCCTCCTCCTCCGCCTCCTCCTCCTCCTCCTCCTCCTCCTCCTCCTCCTCCTCCTCCTCCTCCCTCGCTCCTCGCTCCTCGCTGCCTCGCGCTCCTCCTCCTCCTCCCCTCCTCCTCCTCCTCCTCCTCCTCCTCCTCCTCCTCCTCCTCCTCCTCCTCCTCCTTCGCCTCCTCCGTCCGCCGCCTACCGTTCTCTCCCAGCCAGTGCAGGCGCGTCGGCGGCATGTCTGGCCAGATGCCCTTGGCTCGGCTGCTGCTGCGGGGCGCCCTGAACTACTTCCACTGCCTGGAGCCCGCCGCCAACGCCGCCGGGCCCGCGGGCCGCTTCGCGGCGCTGTCTGGCGCCTCGGCCGGTGGAAAGCCAGGGGCCAACGAGGGGCGCCGCCGCGAGGCAGCAAAGTACGGTCGGGAATTTCTGGCCAGCGTGCCGCTCCGCTGGTTCTGGCCCACCACGCGTCGGCGCCACACACTACACAGTTCCTGGTCCCCCGGCGTCAACCTCCCGAGCTTCTCCTAGCCTCCCGCGGAGCGGAGCGACACGCTATCCGCTCGCAAGGCGTAGCGTGTCATCGGGGCCGCCACGGCGACACGCTACGCAAAAGTTCCCGACCGTACTCCCTATTGGAGGCAGTGCGGTACCCTGAGGTCCGAAGCTGCGAAAAAGCTGTAACACCACGAAAAATCACGACGAGAGCAGACCCTAGACCCCACCTTTCTGTTTCATTCTTTGGGCCGGATCGAGCCGTGATGGCCTCGCGGCCCGAAACCGGGCGAAAACGCCGAGTGTGAAAAAAATGGCACGCTTGGATCTCAGGGCACACCATAGCCAGGAAGGACAGAATGATGTAAGCTAGAAGCCCATTGGCGGAGGCAAAAGGATGCCTCTGCCTCTTCGCCCTCGTGGAGGCCTCCAGAGACCTCCAAAGGACCCCGGCTCTTCCACAGTGCTCCCCCCAGCAAGGCGTCTCCGTGCGCATGTCTTGATGCTGCCGCCCAGCGGCACAGTGAGGGCACGCAGGGACCCGTCCCTGCCGAAGGCGGCTGGGTGGCTCGACCCGCGAGCAGCTGGCCCTCGCTGCCTCCGGGCAGGAGCCTGGTCGAGCTCGGGCCCGAAAGCGAGCGCCCTTCGGCCGGTCGTCGGGCCCCTCCCGCCCTGCGGGGTCGTCGGCTCCTCTCCGGCCGAGGCACAGGGCCGCGGCAGTGCGACGTCGTGGCGCTGCTGGACCTGCCCAGCGCCGAGGACGTCCGGGGCGGCGGCTCCCTGCGGGGAGCCGCCTTCGAGCTGGCCCCCCGGGCGCGCGAGCTGCGGGGGCACGGGGTGCTCAGCGTGCGCTGGGCGCAGGGCGGCAGGCCTGGGCGTCGGGCGAAGGGCACGGACGCACGAGCGCACCTCGGCTTGTGATGTTCCAACCTTCTTTAGCTTTCAGAATGAATTTCGAACACCAAGAAACACCAAAAAAAATCTAGGGCTTTCACGTGTCGGGCCCTGGGAGACACTCGGTCGACACTCTTTCGACCCTGTCTCGACATTCTTTCGACGCTTTTCTGGGTGCTCGAACTTATTTCTGGGATGTGGTCCTTAAGTACGATGGGGGCAACATAAAACCTCGGCCCTTCGAGGGCCCTGCTGCCGCCGGCTGCGGCGCGGAGGAGGCGGGCCCTCGGCGGGCTGTGGGGGGCCCCACCCGGGACCTCCCGGGGCCGCGGGGAGCCCGAGGACTGGAGGGCCCCCCCCGCCAGGGTTCAGTCGGGCCTGTCCCTCTACAGGGGGGATATCCAGAAACAGTCAAAAAATACTCTGGGGACCATGGTTGAGCATTTTTTCCCATCTTTTGAATCTTTGTGTTGCACCTTTTGCATTCTTCGTCCAAAATCCCCCTGCAGGGGGACAGGCCCGACTTAACCCCCAGGGGCCGTCCGAGAGCGGCACGGGACGAAGACTGGGTCGTGGGAGAAGCCCCGGGGGCTGGGGCCCGTTGCCGCCCGACGCCCGGCGCGAAAAAGTTACAACGCCCAGATCACGCGAGAAAGTTACGACGCCCAAGTTGCAACGCCCCAAGAATATGAGCCAACACCACGTCGATTCCTCCTCCCTCCTCTACCCTCCTCTTTCCTGGGAGAGGGTGGTGGTGGTGGTGGTGGTAGTGGTGGCGGCGGTGGTGGTGGTGGTG